TATTAACTGACCTGCTATCCAGACAGAGAGATATTATTCTATCACTGAAGACCAGATCTTGATATGTACCTTTTAACAATGGGTGTGATCCCATTCCTCTTTAATTTGTCATTTCCAGCTTAATTGGCTAGATGTTTATTTAATTCAAAATTCCCAATACCAACTCATTTTAGTTCGATAATTCTCAGGATATTGATATTTTTGCACTCCTTACTGTTTTTAACAACTTCTGATTTTCCTAGATCCGTATTCCACGCATTCAACATTTGAATTATTAATGAATCATTAATATAACTGTAGCTGCTATTTCTAATTTTGAGTCATCCTGCATCAGCAAATAAAGATCCTGAATGCTTTGTGCAATCCATGATATTGAGATCAGGATTACTTCGAAGAGACATCTGTTCCCCATTTGCATTTTGAATGTTGTCCAATCTCAGGGATTCTTCTTTAAACCTGTATTAGACAATGTTCTGTTGCTAGTCATGAGGCAAGTTTTTCTAAGCGTGGTCCTCCTGCTAGTTTTCTTAGTCTGGAAACTGTTGACATCTCTCTACCATGGGTAACTTTGCTGGTTTTTGAAATACTGGTGGCATAGCTTCTAGCACCATAGCAACAAGCAAGACATTACAGTACAACAAAATGACAAGAAGTGGAACCAATATATAGCTGAAGAGTGAGCTGTGAAGGGTATTATTTGTATGAAGGAGTCTATTCCTTGAGAATTTCTACTGGAATGTAGAAATTCTAGTGGAATGTACTGAAATTCTAAGAATAAACTAATCATGTAAGATTTGCAGTCCTATTTTCATGTCATGGTATACATGCCAGATAATCATCTGAACTTCTGAAGCTTCTATGAATTAACATTCTGAACCTCTAACATGGAGTTCACTCCGTGCTATCTGAAATTTGTATCACATAAGTCTTTTTATGGAGAGTAAATTCGGTCTTTTATGTTCCCATAAAAGAAATATGCTCTGTAAGCTTATATGAGGGTTAAGTGCTCTTAATCAAAGTGAAATTAGCTTCTTGTGAAATATAACCTTTATATGAAATATCCTCAAAATAGAAGAAAAGGTTAACTTGGTTTTAATACCCAAAATTATTTATCCATTTTCTTATTAAGCATGTGATTATTGTACTTAGTAGGAGCAGTCTCTTTGGGAACTGAAGCTACTTATTGGTTTGTTTGGTTTTCCAACAGAGACTCTGTGTGACCTTTTGAGGAGGGATGGTCATGTACTGGCAGTGAAAACTAAAACAACAACCTCCACGCCATGGAGTTGATTCCTACCTGTAGTGACCTGATAGGACAGGGTCGGATTGCCTCTGATTTTATGAAGCTACCAATCTTTACTGGAACAGAAAGCCTTATCTTTTCCCCTCAGAGGAGCTGATGAATTTGACCTGTCAACTTTGTGCTGAGCAGACCAGCAAATAACCGACTCCACCCTCTGAAATCCTTATTCAGGGGGTGGGGGGTGGGGGATAAGGAAGAGTAGGGAGATGAAATGCAATATACATATATAATCCTCCACATGAGGAGGTAAAAAATATTATTTAAAATCACAATTTCATTATTAGCAAAATTAACATAATGTTTCAGTTTGAATTAGATTATAATAACAAAGGAATTAAACCTACCTTTGTGGGGGTGGGGAGGGTGTGCGGCCTGAAAGGTTAGATTCTGGTATTATTTGAGTTACCATTATGTTCATGCATAATTTGATGAAAAATTTTAAGCCTCTTTGCACTTATTGGAAAGTTGCATCAACTACACAAATGTATCAAAATATATGATTTATATCTCTCACATATTTGTTACAAGTTTACCTTGTCAGGATCATTATAATTAGTGCAGATCTTGAAAAAAAATCAAGCTATATAAATTTTAAAATTTGTCTCAGTAATTTTCCCTGGAATGGTAGGGAGAGAGTATCCATCTATTGAAAGCAAACTGAATTTCAACATTGCTTCTGAGAGGCAGATCAGACTACAAAGGGCCGGCAATTCTGGGCAGTCACGGAGCAGGAGCTTTGATCCTCTGGAACTGTAATAAACAAGTTAAAGTAAACGAATCAGGTGGCAGTGTGCCTGGAGGAGGCCCGCAGGTTCTATGTGATGGCTGTCCTTGTTTCTGCACGGATAATCTCATAAATGTCATCCTCTATATCTAAGAGTATCTATCTGTCATTATTTATCCTCTATCATCTACCTCTGTCCACCTATCACTTCCTTCCTTGCTTGCTTTCTCTCTTCTTCTGTCTCTTCTTCCAGCCTTCCTTTTCTTTGAATTCTCTTTCTAGTTTTCTATTCCCAGATATAGAATAATGACAACTGTTTACATGTCTCTTCTCTACATTGTTGTATTTTATCTTTCCAACACTTCTGTAAGATAAACAGCAAAACAAACAACGAAGCCTCTGAAACTCTTGAATGTTGAGTCAATAATTTGTGATTACAGAGAATTAAACCCACCTTTCCCCCATTCTACTCTCCTCTCAATCTCCCATTTGCCAGTGGAGTCTATTCCAGCCACATTAACAACTCCCTGGTGATATAGTGGATTACGTGTTGGGCTGCTAATTACAAGGCCAGCAGTTCAAAACCACCAGCAGCTACAAGGGAAGAACATTCTTTCTACTTCCATAAAGAATTATATAGTCTAAGAAACCCACAGGAGAAATACCAAAAAGTTGTTTCATTGACTATGAAATGGAAATTTACTCCTATAAAGATTTATAGTCTTGGAAATCCACTGGGGTAGTTCTACTCTGTCCTACAAGTTCACTATAAGTGACTCAATGGCAGTGCGTTTGGAAGACAACACGCATGCTTCTTCCAGGACTGTGCAGTGTCTATTTGCTCAAAACCACCCCAAATGCTCTTCTCTCAGATATATGATCTACTTGACTCCTTCTACTTGACTTGTTTAAACCTCACTCTCACTGTAAGATTTGCCCTGTTCTCTGTTTCAATTAAAAATATGTCCTTCATTCTATGCCCAACCTCAATTCCCCAATCCTGCGTACTTTTCTATGGCATTTGTTATTGCTTAACAAACTATATGATTCAATTATGATATGTTTTGTGTTTATTTCTTGCCCCCCACACCACCCCAGACCAAGCAGTCAAAGGCTCTCGAATGTCACTGTAGGTTAAGCATCGAACTTCTAAGTGCAAGGTTGCAGTCCACTTGCTACTCTGTATGAGACAAACTAGGCTGTCTTTTCCCATAATGGTTTATAGTCTTTGAACCCCTATATTGAGTTGCTATGAGTCTGAATGGACTCGATGACAGTGAGTTTTGTTTTGGGGAAATAAAATTTAGACTGTACATAGGTTGGAATTATATTTCTTTGTAAGTAATTCCCTTACCTAGAATAGTCCTTAACATAACCAAAATATCCAATTAATAATCTGACAAATGAGTGAATGAATTGCCTTCTAAATGGCACCTGGCTCTTCCACAGACATCTCATACTACTAAAAATAAAACTTTTTGTTTCCCCTAAACTACTCATGTCTGCTCATCCAAGACAAATGGCTGCAGTAGACCTAGTCTTAATTGCATTTCCCCGCATTTCCTCCCTCTTCTTAAACATCTCCACTGCCAGAACATAGGAATTCATTGTCCGATCTGTTTGAGTTACTGGAGAATACTTCCATAGCCTCTTTAACTCCGCCCTGACCTTTAAGTCTTCCTTTTTACATAGCCACAGAGGTGTTTCTAAAAATCTACCATCTTGCCACTTTAGGCCTTATCATTCTTTTATTATTCTCTGTAGTTCCAGGGAAATGGAAAAACACCCCTTCTCATTAGATCAGTTGGTCCATGATGAGTCCCTAGAGAGCCATGTCAAATTCTGCAATGGCATTGCCCAGCCTTAGTGTCACTGTGTAGTCATATCAACTACATATTTGATGACCCCGACTTTCTCCATGCTTCTCCTTTGTTCTAGGAAGTCCTTTCCAACTGGATGCTCCCTCTCATTCCTTAAGGATCTATTTGCATTTCTTCTCATCTAGAATTAGTTGATGTCCATTTTGCTTATTGCTATTACTTTATCACATACCTGACAGTTGTGATCTTCATTCTAGATTTCTTTGGTGGGAACAAAGGTCCTTTTCTCTGCATCACTAGAGGCTCAAACAGGGTTGACTATAGAGTCATTGCTGAGTAAATACTTAATATAGAAGAAGCTGAGGAGTCCCTGGGTAGTGCAGGGAGTTAACTTGCTCAACTGCTAACCAAAAACCTCAAAGTGGGAATTATCTAACAATGCCAAGAAATTTTGAAAGCAAAATTTTGTTGAAGTTATTTCAAACATGATTTTAACCTTCCATTGACAAAAAGAATAGCAGGATTTCTATCTGAAATCAGAAAACGACATGGATTTCAGATAGATTGTCAATATAATCAGAATCTTGGATGAAAGCAGGAAATACCTGAAAGACACTTTATTGACTATGAAAAGACATTCACCTGCATGGATCGCAGTGAATTGTGAACAACTTTTGACAAATGAGAACTCTAGAACATTTAATTGTGCTTGTAGGGATCCTGTACAGAAACCAGGAGACATTTTTTTTTTGGCATATCAAAGAGACACTGTGTGGTTTAAAATCACAAAGATCTATCAGTGTTGTATCATTTCACTATCCCTATCCAAGCTGTATGCTGAGCATATAATCCAAAAAAAGGCTTCAGTCTATGAGGACAGATACGACATCAACTTTGGAGGAAGACAGTTTAAAACCTGTGATATGTACGCAATCTTGTTTGCTGAATGCTAACAGGACTTGTAGCACTTACTGATGAAAATTTTTTTTTATGTTTGCAACATAGAGGTTTAAATAATCCTCACAAGTGGACCAACAAGAAACATTATGATAAAGGGAGAAAAGATTGATGTGACCAAGAATTCCATGTCACCTGGAAGCAGCAACCAAAAATCCAATCTGCTTCAAAATATCTCTTTAAAATGTTGAAAAGCATACTTAGCTGCCAGGGGAGACACCGTGATCAGGAGGGTGGTTTTCCCAGGGCAAGGCTCACCCATTGCACTGCGGGTGTGCTGACCCCTGCGATTTCCCCAAATGCAGGAAACTCGACTGCAAAATTTGAGGTAGTAGGGGATTGCGTCCACGTGCTCCCCCGAGTTAAAAAATAAAAATAATAATAATAAAATGTTGTAAAGCAAAGATGTCACTTTGAAGACTCAGGTGTGCATCACTGAGGCCAAGATGTTTGCCTCATATGTATGCGAAAGCTGGACAATAAATAAAGATCAAAGAAGAGTGAATGCCTTTGGATGATGGTGTTGGTGAAGAATAGTGAATATTCCACGGATTTTCAGAAGAATGAATAAATCTGTGTAGGAAGAAGTACAGTCAGATTGTTCTTTAAAATAAAAAATAGTGAGCTTTTTTTTGAACATAATTTGGACATGATATCAGTAGGGATAAATCCCAGGAATTGGACATTTTGCTGAGTGAAGTAGAGGGTCAACTAAACAGAGGAAGACACTCAGCAAGACGATTTGACCAGTGGTTACAGCAATGGACTGAAACGTAACAATTGAGAGGAGGGCGTAGGACTGAGTGATATTTTGTTCTGTTGTACGCAGGATACTACGAGTTATAGCCCACTGAGTCACACCCAACACCACTAACAGAATTCATTATGATGCTAACTTGCATGGTAGCTCTATTTTGTACTATTTACTTTCACTTTGTGGTTGAAGCAATAGCTGTTACTTATTACTGTCTTTTATTTGTCATTAATGTCTGGGCCCTTTCTTACCAGCTTCCTACTTATACATAATTCTGCTTGGAAAATCACATTATTGGCTTGTTTTCGAACTCATCTTTGTTGTTGTGCACCTTCAAATCAATTCACACCTATAGAGGAGTGCTAGGCTAGAATGTATGTGCACAAGGTGCCATTGAGGCGTAGTGGTGAAGTCTTCTACTGCTGGTCAAAAAGGTTGCGCACCAGGAATTTGGTGGTCCAAGCCCACCAACGACTCCAATGATGATAGCCTGCTTGATGAAACACACAGCTGTGGAAAGGCTCGCAATTCTACTTTGCCCTGTGGAGTCACTGTGAATCTTAATGGACTCGACAATCAGGGCTTTGTTTGGGGATTGCTAACATTGTGGTCTTTCTATTTCTAAGTTTTTCTTCCACAGAATTACTGGTAGGGAACAATCACCAACAGTTCCTTTAACAGCAGTGCTTAAATATTAAGTAAGACTCTATCTCAGACTATAGATAGAGATTAAAGGCTGGTTTAATTGGAGATTTAGCCTTTGTTTTTATTTATTTGTTTATTTGCTTATCTACCTACCTATCTGCCTATGCTGTAAGAAGATAGAGGAATTTCTTTGAATTTGATTGAGCTCATGTCAATGACTAAATCATCATAATAACCAAAGTAAAATCAAACCTACAGGCATCTAGTCATCATAAATAGGATAGTAAAATGGAATAATATATCTCTCCATTTCAGTTATATCAACAAGAAAATAATAAGGACTCAGCTTTCCAATTTGAGGGGTTCCATAACCTGTGTTAAAAGTGTTTTGTAATTTTTATTGTCTTTAAACTGTGATCGAAAAGATATAGTGAGAAGTAATGATTTGAAAAGAGACTTTTCCTTGGTGTAATTTTCCTTTGCTTGTAGCCTATTTTCCACCAGGATCATGGAGAGAAAGGATTTCTTTATTCTTCCATTAGATCTGGTCAGAATTATTACCACACCAGTCCTCTAGACCAGTGGTTCTCAACCTTCCTAATGCCACAAACCTTTAATACAGTTCTTCACGTTGTGGTGACCCCCAAACCATAAAATTATTTTTATTGCTACTTCATAACTGTAATTTTGCTACTGTTATGATTCGGGTGACCCCTGTGAAAGGGTCATTTGACCCCCCAAAGGGTCGCGACCCACAGGTTGAGAACCACTGCTCTAGAGCTTGAGTATAGTGCATGCTTCATTCTGGAAAAACTCAAAGGTGGCTGAATTAGCTTGTGCCAATACTGCAGATTAAAAGAACACAACAAAAACCTAAAGTCACAATCATAGAGTCTATTCTAATTTAGAGTGACACTATATAAGGTTTCCAACAGAACAGACAGCCTCATCCTTCCTTTTAAGACTGCCTGGTGGGTTTGACCTGCCAACCCCGTGGTCAGTAGCCTGTGTAACCCACTATGTCAGTCAGGTTCCTTAACAGAAGTCTGCCAGCTACTGAGTCAAACCACTTCCATTCACAGTGGTCACAGATATGTCTTACATGTGAGGATACTGCTGGATAATCACTTTGGGAGTGTCCTGAATATTGCCCAAGAAGGCCACATGAAGAGGTGTATAATAAAATGTCAGTTTTAATTGATATGGTACATGAAATGACTAATGCCTGCAAGATTTATAAAAATTACCTGTGGTTGGGAAGTTAAGAAGGGGTTATCCTGAACTGCACTGGGAAGATGAAATTCCTGTTTATCATAAAGCTAAGACACTGTTTAAGGGGTATGGAGAGAGAAAGAATGAATATGAAAACCAGAGAGAAGTAATTGCTGGCAGTGCAAGCAGAAATAGAAGTAACTGAAGTGGCAAGATATGGAGCCTCTGACAGCCATATAAAATGACAATAAAGAGCAGAAATTGCCAGTGGAGAAGGGAAAAGAAAATGTATTAATAAAAACAGAGATATAGTTAGGGGCCTTTTTTAGCAAAAGGGGCACGTTCAAATGCCCTCCCAATATTAAGGTCAAATAACAAAAGCATGTCCATTAATACCATATCTCTTCAGACTCTTCTGTGAAGGATCACTTATCCCTTCATACCTCAGTTATCACCAAAAGCTTCATTGTTCTACATAACAATACGAAACTGATGTTCATCGTGTCTTGACCTCATGAAAAAGAAATGTTTTTCTGTGTTTTTTTTAAAGCAAACCATTTCATATGGCAGGAACATGAATAATTCATTTGAGAAGGATGGCTGGCTAGAAAAAGAATTCAACTAAAAGAAATGTTTCACTGCAGTAACCAGCATCCAAACCCCTTCTCTTCTTGTGAATTTTTTTTCCCCACTCGCAATGAATTGGTGCTTGCTCTTATGACCAATAGAATACAGTGAACGTGGTGATGCATGATTTCTACGGTTAGATCAAAAAAGGCATTCAAATGTTGCTTTTGTCTTTTGGGTCATTTGTTCTAGGTGTGCCCATCATCACCTTACCATGAGGTAACTAGTCCTGTGAACAGACCCACAGAGAAAGCAACAGTGGCCCTCATCCATACCCAGCATCACTGTTCCTGTCATCTGAATAAACCACATTGCAAATGCATCCTCCAGATTCAATATAACCTTCAGAAAATTGGAGACCCAGGCAATACGTACCTGTAATCTTACATCAGAACTTGAGCTATAAACACCCACCTAATTCACTTCTAATTTCTTGACTCATAAAAAAAAAGACATTACAAATGGTTATTATTGTTTTAAACTAACATTCAGTTTGTCACATTTTATACAAAAATAGACAATGAGTACCTTCACCCTTAGTCAATTATGTAATAGGTACATATTGTACAAATTACTGTTCAAATATTTTATGCAACTAAGCTAGTAATAAACTTAAACACTGATATCATGAAACCACAAGCGGCGCTGTGGGAGAAAGCCTAAGCTTTCTTTTCCTGTAAAGAGTTAACAATCTACCTTGTCTAATGGGTGCTCTATGAATCAGCATTTACTCGATGGCAGCAAATTTTGTTTTGTTTTCTAAAATCCTTGCATTGTTTTATTTGTTACTCTTGAAAGATTGAGTGGTAGTTAATAGAAGGAAAATATCAGCAAACCCTTGGGCAGTTAACAATTTGTTAAAACTGTTTGACATATGGTGTTTTATTTAAATAGAAATAAAAATATTTTAATGTATAGGAATAAATTTTAAATGTATATACAAGGGGCTTAACTCCTCAGGACCAATAGTGAGAGTAGAAATACCAGGAGGATTGGAGGAGGGTGGGTGGAGAAAGGGGGAATTGGTTGCACGGATCAACATATAACCCCCTCCCAGGGGGACGAAATTCAGAAAAGTGGGTAAGGAGTGATGGAGGATGATGTAAGATATGAAAATAATAATCTATAACTTATCAAGGGTTCGAGGGGGAGGGAGGGGAAGAAATGGGCAGCTGGTATCAGGGGCTCAAGTGGGAAGCGAGTGCTTTGAAAATGATGATGGCGGTATATGTGCAAATCTGCTTGACACACTGGATGAATGTATGGATTGTGATAAGAGATGTAAGAACCCCTAATAAAAATATTTAATAAAAAAAGAGAGAGAAAAGAATTTTAGTATATGAAATAATGAAATATATAAATAAAGATACATATATGGATACTTACAGATTTTAACTATTTCAGATAGTGACACATTCTTGTGTTGTAACAGCAGCCCTGGTGTCATTGTGGGTTACCTATTGGGCTACTAACAACAAGGCCAGCAGTTTGAAAAGACCCATCATTTGCTATGTGTCAGAATCAGTCAATTCTATGGCACTGAGTTTGGAGTTTTGGTACACACACACACAAACACACACACACAAACCAAACTCACTACCATAAATTCTATATACAAAAAACACTACCTCACTGGCACAGAGTTCAGTTAGACGGATAGTGACCCGATAGGATAAAGTAGAGCTGCCCCTGTGGTTTTCTGAGACTGTGATCTTTTACACAAGCAGACAACCTCATCTTTCTCCCTCAGAGCAGCTCCTGATATTGTAGTCAGCAGCCCACCTTGTGCTGCACTGCAACCTGGGGCTCCTTAGTGAACTTATAAAGAAAGAAGTGCATACATATGCACATACCCGAAGGCCAAACCTGTGCCATTGAGCCTAGTCCAATTAATAGTCACCCACATAATATTTTTGAGACTGTAAAATTTTATGGCAGCAGACTGATTTGTTTTTCTCTCCCAGGAAGGGCTGGTGGATTTGAACTGTCGGCCTTGTTATAAGCAGCTCAATGCTTTTATCATAAACACACACACATTATGGTACATTTCTATATTTTTATTTATCTCTGCTAGCCGGTGAAAGTAGGTAATTCAATTAAGGTAATTCAATACAGTGCAAAT